CTAAAAGTCACATTGAAACTGGCACGTGAATGAGTAAATATATTTTAAAAAAATTGAGGATTAGACATCAAAAAAATTGAATGCGAAAAAAAATAATCATGTTGAACCAACCAGAGGATTCGTACATCAAAAAAATTAACTAAATAACCAAACTGAATAAATTAAAAATAAAATATGAGAATCAATCCACCATTCGTATCACAATCAAGAGCTTGGCGAGATTGCTTTCAGACAAACACACAACAATAACAAACAAAGATGACACAATAATTAGGATTTTGCGGAAAAATACCTTCAATATGCTAGCCACAAGAGAATTCGCATAACAGAAGCAGATAACAGAGACAAACCAGAGCAAACCAATGGTTTTGCATAGAAATACCTTCAATCCGTGGTCACCAATAAAGAACTAGGTTTTAGGGTTTCAGATTTGCGTCACAAAAGCAGAGAGTAGATAGAAACAAGAGCAAAGTCAATGGTTTTACAGAGAAAAACCTTCGATCCGTGGTCGCGAGCGAAGAACTAAGGTTTCAGGGTTTCATATTTGCATCACAGAAGCAAAGAACAAATAGAAACAAGAGCAAAAACCAATGGTTTTGCAGAGAAAAACCTTCGATCCGTGGTTATGAAGAACTAGGGTTTCAAATTCGCATCACACAAACATATAACAGAGAGAGGATCGACATGAAAACCAAATACGAGAGGAAATGGTAGGGTTCTAAAAATTTTGTAGAGAAAAATGATCGATCTGTGGTCTAGCAACCACGGTCTAAGGTAAAGGGAAAATCGCCTCCAATGAGCTGCGCGAAGAGAGAGAAATGAGAGGCAACAAATGAATAAGGTTTCAAAAATGCGATGTTTTATACTTGTTATGTCCACTACAGTAACTGATATAATTATTTGATATCAGTTTGGCCTGATATCTCCGCTAGAGTGTGCATAACACCCAATATCACCAAATTGGTGGTATGGTTTTGGGCATTATTTAGTATTTCTGCTTTAACACTATTCAATATCATAGCAGCCCAACCCAAACAAGATATGGGCTCAAACTACAATATCAAAACACTCAAAACAATACCAAACCCCCTCCCAAACATGCCCTAAAGGAGATGTCATGACCCGAAAAATTTCCTCCTTTTCTTTTTTTTTCGGTAATTTCATTTTTTCGTCTTTTCCCTATTTCGTCCTTTAGTTGTTTTTCATTTTTCCTTACAAAATCTCACTTTTTGTGCTCGGATTTGATTTCGGTTTTGTATACATTCATGATATTTGATTTCTAAGACATCTACATTTACACTTTTGTAGAAAAGTATGTTAAATGTCTACTTCCCTTGTAAAGTGTATGAATGCATAACTTTTGGTAATTAATCATAACTTGAGGGGTTTTGTGTAATTAAATAAAGTAATTATTTTTCGTCTTAGGGACCATTTTGCAATTTAATTTGGAAGATATTTTCAAAAAGGACCTTTTTGCAATTTTCAGAAAAAAAATGACAAGTGTCACTTTCCTAAGGTGCCATTTGTTGATTTTGTAGTGAAGCCACTTGTAGGCTTAATCCTTTGACACATAGAGGGTGGAGATTCAACCATTTGTTGGCCTAAGATTGGAGCACATGTTACCATGAATGGTTGACAAGTGTAGGATCAATATTTGACCTTGGAAGCTCACTTAGATTCATGACAAGTGTAGGACTCACATTTAGTCTTGCAAGTATGTGTGTGAGAGGTAGTGCAAGAGCACCTAGTGAATAGAGAATTCCACCACCTTTAACTTAGGAATTCTATTTCATTTTAATACATTCACCATCTTCCTCTTAAGAACTCTAAGAAATCTCCATTGGAGCTAAGCTTGAATTAAAGCTTTGAGCTTCATTTTCATACCCTTCCACTCACCTTAGAACCTAGAACTTGGAATACTTTATCTTCCTCTCACTCTCCTCTATAAGACCCTTGTTTAATTTTCCATTTTTGAGCTTGGGTGCATTGGATTATAGAGATTCAATTCTCTATTGAGGTAGGGAGTGTTCTACTTGATTTTCCTAAGTGAATATATTGTTCTTGTAATGATATACAAATTGTATGCATATCCTATGTTAATTTAAGTAATAAATGACTAATGGTAGCTTGCATATAAATTGTTTTGGACTTGATATATGGCATGGCTATGACTTGAATCTTATTGTGTATTAATTTAACATGATTTAAATGAGTTTCTAAATCTAGAGACATGAGTAATTTAAGTTGATTTTAAATTCTATTTAATTCTACCATGCTAGTAATTCATTTTTGACTTGATATATGACATGGTCATGACTTAGTCTATGATATATATTCATTTGGGATTATTTGAATAATTCTTGAAATCTAGAGGAAGTTAACTAATTAGCTTAATTAATTTCCATTTCATTGTTCTAATGATTAGTCATTAAATTCATGTAGTTTTTATGTTGTAATACATATCATGAGTTGTTGCTCAAACTTGCTGATTTTGGAAACTTGGGATATTATCAAGAACTTGACTAGGCTAGGACTTGGTTCTAGTACGGGGGATTGTCCTCCTACATTATAGTGCGCACTAGGGGAAAGGTACCCATGGGTTAATAGCCCTAAAGTGATCTCAAGAGTACGGTTTTAATCTGGGCAATATCCAAGTATCCACTTGACTTGATTTCGTATTTTAATTTCCAAGTTGATAACTTTGTGAAATTGCATCTTATTGTGCTGTGCTGAAAGTTCTCATGTCATTTTAATAGTATGGATTACACAATATTGATTTGTAAACCTTGTAAATGAATTAAGCATATGCATGCTCATTCCCTATGAATAAACTTGTTAGACTTGTCTATTCACCCCGAAGTTACTGGGTGTTTTGCAGGTAAAGAAGCTTTGTTGTGGAATACACAACACTCTTAGACATGCTATAAGTCTTGAAGTATTTTTGGTGACATTGATATGCACTTGTTAGCATATCTTACTTTACTTTGCTTAGTATGAAAAAATATGTATTTGTAGCTTCAACCATGTAATGTACACTTAAGTGTACCTTTTGACACTTTTTGGATGTGCTTGTAATGAGGCCAAGGGCCAAGCATGTACACTTTTGTACTTATACTCTTTTGGTATCAACCTTTACATCAAAAATGTATTTAAACCAACTTTTGAGGTTTGACATATGAAAAACATGTAAATGAAGTGTATGAGGCCAAGAGTCAATGAATTGCATTCATTCATCCATGTTAAAGTTGTTAGCATGCTCACACACTTGAATCTTCTTGAAAATCAGTTTTAAACTTCCATTTTGAACCAAAACACATTAGGATTCAAAGCATAGGTTGAACCTTAACACTTTATGCATTTAGTAGACCTTTAAGCAGCATTTCGAGGTGTTTCGGTCAACCGAAACTCCATTTCGGTCGACCAATGGTTAATGGTTTTGTGTTTAAATAGTAAAATCACATTCCAGTAGCCAAATCTACTGTTCAAAGTCCATTTCGGTCGACCGAACCTTTATTTCGGTCTACCGAAGTAGCAAGAACCTTTCCTTCATGTTTTCAGCTCTCAGTACTTTCATTTCGGTGATCCGAAACTCCATTTCGGTTTATTTCGGTCTACCGAAGTAGCAAGAACCTTTCCTTCATGTTTTCAGCTCTTAGTACTTTCATTTTGGTGATCCGAAACTCCATTTCGGTCGACCGAAATAGCCTGATATCGAGAGTAGCTTCAGTTCAGTTTCAGCACTGCTCTTCCAACTTCAAAGGGCCATAACTTCTTCATTTCTAACCCAAATAGGGTGATTCTTGAGCCTAAATTTATGAGCTTGAAGTCAGCTTTCCAATGGAACCAACTGTGCATCAAAATTCCAACTGTAGTGAGAGTTATTGCAGTTTTAGTGAGATAGGGTCTTGGAAACTCTTAAACAGGGGATGCCACTTCTTACTAAATTCATATCTTTTCCGTCCGGACTCCGAATCAAGTGATTCTTAAGTTTATTTTCATTAATTTTTCATAGTATTTCCAATGGTGTGCTTGGTAGTACCCACTTTCATTTTGGAAAAGACCGTTTTGCCCCTAGGCTCATTCTTGCCCCTTCTTGAAACATCGTTTTCGCATTTGTTCTCTTAGGGCTATGTGACTTCATTGAGGGTCACATTGGTGTATTATAGACATGTAATACCCCTAGAGGTCTTGGTTTATCATTTACTTCCGCATCTGGATCCGTACACGGGTCATTCCTCGGTTCACAGCTGATCCACCGGGTTGAATAAAAATCCGGGTCACGACAGGAGAAGAAAAACAAAATAGTTTATCTGCCTGGTACGTTTGTAAGTATCAAAACTCTCAAACATAAAACAGTTTTTGCGAAGACTGAAATAATTTTGTTATGAAGTCACCGGCCATCTTATTTGTATTATTACTTGAACATGGTAAAAAAAAAAATGCATAAATGAACATGGTAAAATTTGTTACACTAAATGTTGTTTGACGTCGTTGCATTTTAAATTTTCTTGTATAATTATTAAGTTGAGTACGAATAAAATGAGAAGAGGAGCTATTAGTGGGCGACTTAAAGGAATGGAACAATTGTCTCTCACTTCATAAATGTCACTAATGCTAAAAAGAAATAAGAAGTTGATGCAAAAAAATAAAAATTAAATTAAATTACAGATAAATAAATCATGTACCAATAGAAATTGAAAGAAAGTTTTTTTTTTTTTTTTTTTTTTTTTTACAAGGTAAGAAGGATTAGAAGTTAGATTAGTAGGTGTAAAGAGCTGAAGCCGGGCACTTCCAAAATCAACCGAATGCACTAACCACTGGGCTATCAAGGCATCTGCGAAAGAAAGTAAATATATGCTTAATTATTAATTTAAAATGTAAGTACAGTACATTATATATATAATAAAAGGAAAGTAAATAGCCCAGAACATTGGGCCAGTTTTGAGCTGGGCCTACACTCAAAACCCAAACTAGACATGATTTGATCGGTATGGGCCATTTTTGTAGTTCCTATACGGTGTCTACAGAGAGAATGAGAGGGGTTTAGAGAGAGAGATAAACCGATGTGACCAGAAAAGCCGACGGCAAGAGCAGATGGCACTACCGGCTTCTGCATTCTCTCGTTCGAATATTCAGGTAATATACAGACATATATAGATATATCAGTGTATATTTTCTCTTTTTCTTTCAATAAATGTTTCTGTCTGTGTATATATATGATTTTGTGCTTAGGATTATTCGTTGTAATTGTATAAACATGGGATGCTTATGCAGTGAATTGTGAATCTATATTAAGGAATTGCTTGACATATGGGGTATATATTCCTGTACTTTATATAAACATATTTTACAGATTTTTGAACTAGTAATTAAAATATACTGTATATTAGACATGTTAAGATATATATATATATATATATATATATATATATATTGTAATTCTCATCCAATTTCAGACGTCTTTGTGCATAATCGAGCTTAAATAACAAAACTATGCATTTTTATTAAATTTCTTGACCTTGCTTCATCATTTTATTCCCCACTTGAATTCTAGTTTTACCAAAATTACATTTCACATATTCAATTTTAGACCTACATATCTAGAGCTTCTCTTCAAATTTTAATTTAGGGATTATCCATGTGCTAGTTTCATTAATTTAAAAGATAAGATTATCAAATAGCATATTTCAAGTAACATCTTCACTGAAAATGTGCAAAAAGATATGAGCTTAATGCTGATTCTTGATGTAAGCCTTCACTAATTGGAAATTCACTTGTTTTTCTTACTATGGTCACCGCTCCATCATACATGGACTCTACTAGTCAATAAATCTTTTTTGTAACTTCTCTGTTTTCTAAGACCCACCTTATCTTAGACATTCAGTCCAAAGTCCAGGGAAAGGTGAGAATTGTGTTTGGTAGCTTAACGACCTACATAACACTTTTGTCAAGATTATGTGAACGCGCCTGAAGCCTTTGGTTTGTAGTGAGTTCACTCAATTAGTCAAAGAATTTGATGAGAATTGAGAAATGAAAGCACATACACCAAATGACCAACCTTACCACTTGATGTTTCAAATATGAAGATTGTAAAATATGATTCAAAGCTAACACTTTGTCCTAGTTGTTGACGAACTGATCATATACAATACCAAAGTGTACATACAAATATACAATATAAGAGGAAGGAAAAGATGACCACATCGATGAGTAATTGAGATGTTCTTCTGCGATGAGTGGAAATTAAGATGATGGTGGTTTTGGGGTTGCAAATTTAGTGTCTCCAACAAGATATAGTTTGTCTCTCTATGGCCACTGTTATCACAAAAGATTGAGCTTATTTGCGTGAAAGGAGGGCAAAGGCTCAATGAAATTTGGTTTTGAAGTCCGTAGCTGTATTGCAAATATGTGTTAAATGAAACCTTTTGGCAGAGAAAGAACTAGGGGATCGGATTTTTGCTTCAGATAATTCACTGTCTAACTGCTTCCTGTCAATTCATTGTTCAATTTCTGTCTTATCTCACTTAAGGCAAATTGAAATACGCAAAAGAAAATAAGAAAGGCAAAGGCAGTGGTGGAGGGAGTACGAATTATTGGGGAGTAGAGAGGAGCAAGGAGATGAAGAGAACAATGTGTTGCCAGGTTTGGGCTGAAGGGGTTCAGGAGGGTGATGGTGCAAGGCAGTGATGTGGTGCGGTGGAAGTACGACTCCAATGTGATTAAACAAAACTTGATGGGGTTGTGGTTTTGAGGATATGATGGTTAGGATGGTGATGATGATAATGAAGTTGAAGTGGTGGTTAGTGAAGGGATGGAGAGGCTAGGGGGATGCATGGTGGAAGGAATTGATGGTGGCTACTGCAGAAATGTGGAATGGAAGGAGGGATATGGAGAGTACGGAGAGTGGGTTTGGTCGGATTTCATCGGCTTAAAGAGACAAAGAGAGGTACAAAGAAGAAGAAGAGAGAAATTGAGATTAAAAAAGCCATTTTGCATCAGATTTTCACTTCTTTTTTTTGTATCAAAAACTCTAGGTGACACCCCCTGTGGTTTGCCCTATTGACACTCATATAGAACCTTGCTAATTTTTTGACAATGACACCCCCTTGTCTGATTTTTGGATCCAAATAAAGCCTAAAAAAGATGAAATGTCTACATTGCCTTTCAATATTTATTCATATTTGATGTAAAATATCATAACCATCAAATGAATGAAATGCCCTTCTTTTGGAAAATGCAATATTAACCACATATGTTGGTTCTCATCTTCTGCACTCATGAGAAACCCTAACCCTAATCTCCATTGATAGTTCTTGTGGTGGGTTTCACTGTTGTAGGACAATTAGCTCTAGTCACATTTGGTGTTGTTCCTCTCATTGTTGTAATTGTGGCAATCCACAACACCACATTAGTCAAACTCTCTACCAAAAGCCAAGAAGCTCAGTCACACGCAGAACATATGAGAGGAATTGACAATTTCTAATGCTTTGTGTATTTCTTTTTTGTTGGATTTGTGGGAGTCTGAAAGTGAACTTGATTCATAGTAAATTCTCTGTTTTCTCAACTGGGTATCACCGATTCAATCCAAATTTTGCAGCACGCGACCAATGTAGCTCCATCCCTGATTTTGAGTCTCAAACTCATAGCAATTACTCTTAGATCAAGAAATCACACTATAACTTCAAATTTGGAATTTTCATAACGACTTGCCTCTTTCGTTAGTCAACCATCAAATGCTTCGACTGATGAAGTCTCCTAAAAAAAAATTCTGTCAAACAAATTTACCCTAATTGTGCCTCCAAAACTGGAAATGAAAATAATTTTGTTTCATCAATTCATTTGCTTCAATTCTTTCATATAGCCATTTGGAGCTGCCCTTTGCAAGCTTTATTATTTGAATTTGACTTGCAGCTCCAAAAACCCACCATTGCAGAAAGGAAGAAGAAAAAAATTACAACCAAAAGCTACGTGTCATTGTATGGTCAAATTTTGGTTTATAATTAATTGGATGAGCAAATCATTGGCAAGATTATGAAATATGGAGCTAGCTGGTTAGGTGTTTCACATCATCCTATTGAAGGCAGTACGCCTCTATCACCTACTTCGTTGTCTTTTGTCGTTATACACTTCTGGTTTTGGTTTGGTGGGCTAATTAAATGATTATTGCTCTTCTTTTGGGTTGTAGTACTGGATTGGTTTTCAAATTCAATGAAGTGGGTTTGTTTGCCTTATTTGTATTAATAATTCAATTTGTTGTGTTGGTGAATTTAGAGTTTGGCTTCTGGATTCTTGGTGTTGTAAAATTTCATTAATTTGTAGAGTTTAATGAATTTTTTTGTATATTTGATGATTCACGGAAAAATTGTATATTGTTTTGGTGGGTAAAAAAACAAAAATTGTTTATTTGATACAGATTGAATTTTATGTATTTGTAAGGTAATTTGTATTATATTACTATTAAATACATATTCAATTTTTAGTTTTATATAATAAATTATGTCTTTAATTTAAAAAAAACATTTAATATTCAATTATAAATTTTAATATTAAAGGTTTTATCATTTATGTGATAAATAATTTTTTATTTTAGTGGAAGTGTAATTTACATATTAAATAAATAATTGATAAAATAAATTTGTATTTAATATGCATATTAGATATGTATATAATAACAATAGGACAAAGAGAATGTTGTACATGGAAAAGTTAAAATGGTAATTTTATAATTCAAAAATAAGGTCAATTTATCATGTGTCAGAGGTGGCAAGGGATGTCATTGTTAACTTTACCAAACCTGAGGGGGCGATTGGTTCACATGCGCCAGTGTAATAGAGGCAAACCACATGGGGTGTCAATGTAATTTACCCGATACACTAACAAAGGAGGTTAGTGTAATAACCTCATAAGTTCTATGATTTTATTAACATGTAGTTTTACCAAATCTCAGGTGGTGGTCAATATGATTTCCTCTTCTACTTTTGTTTTATTAGTGTTTCGAAATTAAGGGTACTTTTATATTTGTTAGACAAGGTTTGTAGTCGTGGTCCTTGTGCCTTATTATGGTTTAAGTTATATTACTTGGGTTTTTATTGTAGAATCTTATGTGGTCAAATATAGTCTTTAGTTGTTGTTGAAGTATTTAATGGCCTAGTTGAATTATGGTAGCCCAATAGCTAAAAAAAAAAAATTTATTTAATTATTTCATTCAAGAGAGTGAGTTTTGAGAATTTGATATTACCTCTTGAAGCTTTATGTGACCCATGATGCAACCTTACTTTAGGGATGATTCCTAAGGAACTAAACTTGGAATTCCTTGACTTATTCTCCACCTTCTTTTCCTTGATTGCTTTTCTTATACAGTTGTTCATAATCTAAAATGGTAAACCAAGAATATCCCATAACCTTATGCAATCTGGATATGTAAATGGGATGGGTTTGGGATAAGCAAGAAAAGCACTTCATGAAGCCACCCCTGCATTGGGTTTGGGGCAGGGTCAGCATAGCCCATTATACACAATGTTTTAAGAAAAAATTTAGGGTATTAAAATTATCATGAAAAGAGTTTTTGACTTTAGGATTTTAGCCAATCTAGGATATGAATTTACTTATTTATTATTAATCGGGTCTAGTTCAGGGTGAAAATGGTTTTTGAATTTCTCTACTACTCCATCATTTAGTGAGACCCTAGTTTTCATATTTTAGGGGGACGATTGTGATTCTTTTGAAATAAAAAATAAAAAATACTTTGGGTTTCGGTAATCCATAAGAAGAATGGGTAATCCCCATCTTTTTAGTATTATTTAATTTCAAACAAATGTCTCTATTTTATTGGACCACATCAGCTGGGAGGATGAACTTCATCCTCCCAGGAGTAGGACCCAAGCATTATCACATTCCAAAACATTACTCCCCAAAGCCTACAACCGTTATTTAATCTCCGGACCCTGATCCTAGAATCTTTTCTTGATCTAAGCCTACCATAAATCGACCGTGGAAAGTTTCCTAATTTCCCGAACGTGCTCTTGCATCTTTTTTGATATCGCTACTTTTTTCCCGGTAAGCAAAATAAAGTTACAGTAGAAATGCAACGAAGAAAGGGAGAGCAGAGAAGCAAGAACATCTACTCTGGCTTGTAATTAACCCCTTAAAGCTTTGGAGAAGACGTGAAAGTTCTTCCCTATGTTTGTCCTTCATCACATGGGGCCATATATGTTGAAGGTTGAACCATCGAACAGTAGTCACTTTCCTCTTTTTCATACACATGTACCAAAAAACAATAATAAAGATTAAAAAAATAAACAAAACAAAACAAAAAAAGGGGGAAAGTTGGAGGGTGAGAATTGAAAGAGATGGTTGGTTTGGCCTTGATAGATTTAGATGTGTTTACTGGTTAGTATTATTGTTTCTACTTGAACATAAATCATTTTTTTTTTTTTTTTTCACGAACATAAATCATTTAAATAATCTTTTTATATGCACAATGCTTTAAAACATTATTCAATGTTGGTTTGACTCATTATAAACTGTGATGCTTGTAGAGATAACAAGGACTTGAAGAATAGTAAGTTGGTCTGCAAGTGCCTTTCACAGCTAGAGCTCATTCTATATGTTATTTGCTCATTATTATGCTTCCTTCTTATATCTAAGCGTTGGATATCGGGTTCAATCTACCTTTTAAGTTGATTCTAATTGAAGAAAATAACAAGAATTTGTTGTCATCTAATGATTGTTTGGAAAGAGTTCAGGAATTTTGAATATACTCAATACATTTTGTTCCATTCAGATTAGTATGAAATTAAGAATTTATATGAGTTGCTTTCATTAGTATAAATTTTCTCTTTCTTTCTTTTTTATTTTTTTTCTTTCCCTAGCACATGGACCGCTTTGGGGAATGGTCAAACCATTTTGGGACAATTAGTACTCGTGGCCTGTGGAGTTACTAAAACAAGTAAAGATAAGCACACAAATGTAGACTAAGATACCATTTTACCTGGAAATGGAATGATAAAACACGAATGCCCAACAGATATGCTTCATTGCATAATTTTTATATTACACACACAACCATGATTTTGTTTAATATAAAAATTCAAGCAAAACTATTGGTCATCTGTGTTTTATGCTTCATTTCATTTTGTTTATATTGCACCCAAGTACACAACCATATTTTGTGTAATACAAAAATTGAAGCAAATTCTTCATTTAGGAAAAAAAATATTTGAAGCAAATCTGTTGGCCATCCGTGTTCTATGCTTCATTCCATAATTTTTGTATTACACACACAACCCTGATTTTGTGTAATATAAAATTTGAAGAATATATGTTGGCCATCCATGTTTTATCATTCCCTTTTCAGGTCTACATATTTCATGCCAATGTGACCCATTCTGGCTTGCTTTGTGTGCTTATCTTTCACAGCAAGGTAGTAATTGTCCCAAAATGGGTTGACCATTCCCCTAAGCAGTCCATATGCTAACCAGAAGGGGGGGAAATAAGAAAGAGAGAATTTATACAAATTGAAGAATTATGCTTTAAAAGGAACTTTAACATGACTCTTTCATCCTTTATGCAGATTAAGTTGTTCAAATGCCAACTCTGTAGTCCCGTACTAGTTCGTGCCTGGAATCAGCCAGCCTCTACCACTTGCTCTGTAAAACTACCTAGAATGGCACAGTTCAGCCAACCTCCTAATGTGAAGCTGCATATAGATAGAGTGAGGGAGAAATTACAAGAAGTCATTCCTGATTCACTTAAAGATTTTCCATGGAAGAAAGCAGAGCATACAGCACTGAAGCAATTGCTGCCGGCTGCACAGAAGGCTTTGAGGTGGTCTCTTATTACACTGTTCACTCTAAGCTCCATATCAGATGTCATATACTCCATCTCCAGAAACAAAGAGTTGTTGATTCCTATAGGTCTCTTTTTTGGTTGCACAATGACCGACTTCTTGAAAGAGACATCTCAAGAATTGTTTCGCAACTCAGAGGTATATTTTACTTCTCTGTTTTTCTTGCAAATTTATCTTCAGTTCTTCACTTGATATTTCTCTTATGTTGTCTATTTGAATCCTCTGTTTGGCAGGAAACAAGATTGAGCCGGCACCTCCTGGGCATAGGTTGCTTCTTTGTTCTTGTTAAGATTATCTCTACATATTTTCTGGTACGAGGACAGGTATTTCTTTTGCATGTTGCAAATGGTGGGTTGATGCAAGTTTTGTGGCTATGGAGAAGTTTGCGAGAAAAACAAGAGAGAGACGATAGAGTGAATTTCTCACCGGAAGATGCTTCCCCTACCATGAACACAGAAGATTAGATACAAGTTTTGCTGCTGCAATATCCTAAATATTGTTAATCACCTTTCAGATGCTGTGTACGATGTAATTGTGTGTATTAAAAGAGGGCGCCCTCTTAATAGCATTGCTCATAAGAGGATATCGATTCAACCACGGAAACAAGCCATTTAAGTAGTCATTCTCCCACAGTCGAATGAAGAAATTGCTTTTTGATGCTTATTCTTTCTTGCAAATAAAGCTCATGGATCTGTTTTTAACAAAAGAAACAAAATTTAACATAACAGATTCACTTTCACTGTTTGCTCCCCAGCAATAATGATGTGAAGAAAACTGCAAAAGCTTGTTTCACTTCTATCATAGAAAAAGGCAAGTGTCTATCCACAGGCCAAAGTAACAGCCATTCCAATTACAATCATTAACTCCCAAAACTTATTCCATCTGATACAAATAAGCAGAGGCCATTTTGATCCTTGCTTTACTTCCCTTGAGAAAATGAGTCAAAGAATGTGAAACATATTATGGTTGGAACAAAAAAAATTAAGCAAACATGATCATGAATTCATGATCAATACCATCAAATGAAATCTAAAATTGGCTCACAAGGAGGACATAGTAGATGAGAGCTGAAGATGTTTTAAATCAGCTTCCATACTGTGGGAAATTTTCTGTTGACTATGATCGGAGGTGAAAAATTTGGCAGTTTGGGTTGTACGAACTCTTCACAGCAGCCTGCTCAAATTTCTTGATGGCAGCTTTATTTACTTCTAAATGGGTTTGAACAAAATAACGTATCCACCAAGACGAACTCCTCAATTTAGCCTTCAGAAAGAGAACACAAAAAATGTCACTTCTACCATACAAAACATGAATTTTAAAAGGTGAAAACAGACTGAAAAAAAATCAAGATATCAACACCTACTTGAAAGTGAGATTTTTCAAAATTTGATTAGTTGAAGCTTTAAACACAACAAACACACACTACTTGGCTAACTATTAAATTGGGAGTAACTAAAATGAATCACCAGTTCATCAAAGTGGCTACGAGGAAACATTAAAGAATATTTGATTTCAGGGCCCCAGTAACACAAGTAGGAGACTTTTAACAATGTTTTGATAAGATTTTCACACGGGAACTACGCAATAAAGGAAATGGAACAGGTATCTTTTATGCGCTTTTATAAGGCGACCATGCTCTTAGGGTAGCAATGTTGGGATTATTGCCCTGAAAACCAATTATTTTTTTTCAAATACGACATTTATATAAATGTGATCCATGTTAAATTATACATTCACGCATTGTGATGTAGGACTTTAGGAGCAGCCTCAAATAGCTGAAAATTAAAGAGTGCAGTGGATGGAAATTCAAATGAGCAGGGCTGGTGTTTGAGGTTTAATAGTAGAGATGTAGAAAAACTGAGAAAAGAAATGGAATAAGAGCAGCCTATTGGAGTCACACTAACAGGTCTAGGTATCACATCCAGAGAAGGTTTCACACCCTCATTGCAAAGAAATTTCTTAAGATATTTGATTATTCATTCATTCACTAATTCAACCAAGATCCCTTTATATAATTCTGCTCATGCCTCTTAGACTTGCATGGAGGTACTCATGACTTTTGGACTTACCTCATAACTGAGGTAATTAATAAGACTCACAACACTTTAAATTCATAATTCATGACTCAATAGCATTCATAAAAGTAAGGAAAATCCAACTTAATTGCATGATAATGTCCACCAAGCTCATAAATTATGCAACTTTAACAAAATCCCCAATTATTCAAGACTCAAAGTGGACCTCACATCATCTAGCATATGCCAAATTAAGGATTGAACCTTAGAACCATTCTTTCCACGCCTTTTATACACCTTTATAGGCAATTGCCATTGATCTCCATCACATTGACTTTTGATATATTTGCATGAGATGAATTATAACCCTCAAGTTACGTTAAAGGAGACTTAGGCATGTAAATGAGATTTACAAACAACATATATGAGTTCCCAATACATTCTAACCTGGAACTATTTGCTGTCAATAAAAAATTGGGCATTTTATCTATAAGACTGGAACACACTTGACCTCAACCTCTATGAGATACATTGCATGTCTCTACAATCAAGTAGTTGACTCTAAGTCTGTATGTTGGTATGTTTAGAACACACCAAGCCAGAGTGAACTTAAAGTTTTGGTGTTAGTCACTTTGATTTACCAATATGTGCTATCTTCTATCTGACCAATACCACGGTATCTTGGGTAGCTAATATTAGAGTTGTGGGAACTGGGAACACAATCCTTTACTATTTGCTCCACACCCTCCACAAAATTTAATATTCCCTTGAAGCAATTTTACTAAATTTGATGACTAGAACCCGGCCAAGGCTAGGATGGCAAAAAAATTGTTATTATTGAAAGTTTATTTCATAATCTTCTTTACATATGCTAGGATGGCAAAAAGTTTTACATTTTTGTACCTATCTCTGAATATTAGGATAGAATTTTGTTCACTTGATTACTTCTTTGGTATAAAACTGCTTTTTTATCAAATTAATAATCAATTCCAAATTGAAACCATTCAGCCAAGGCGGTTTAATTGGGCTTGGTTATTTGTAAGGCTATTTAACTCCATATTATGTCATCCCTCCACTGACCTATTAAAAATAAATATAAGCAAATATAATACAAGGTGTCTAATGCAGACTTGACCAAGTCAACTTATAAGTTTGCCATTAATCACACCATTTATACACCCTAATTCCCATTACCATTATGATGAAAATGAAAGGTAGAGAATTCAAGTCTCCCCAAGAAGCCCCCCCCCACAAAACAAATATAATATAATACAAGGTCTCTAATGATTCTTACTGACAGAAAGGTGATAATTATAATCTAATTCCCATCATTATACGTATGCTCAAAATACAGATACAAGAAAGGATACAAACTTTAATAACTATAGCAATTATTGATGATATTTTCAACATCCACAACAAAATTTTAACAAGTGACATAATTCAAGCATGTAAATAATGTAATAAAGATCGTATAAGAAACAGCCACTTACCGGCCGCCCAAATTTGGATACATCTGCACCTTTAGCTCTGTGATGACCTGGATAGCCTAAAATTTTGATTAAGAAAAAGTCACTAAAATGTCACGAAATCAACAAAAAAGTATATATATAAAAAGCATAAAAATCTTAGCACCGGAATATTATAACTTGCATCTCGGTCTATAAAATAGATGCAAATTTTAAAGCCCCATTGAAGTCGTGTGCGCATTTAGTATATTTAGCTATTGAACGGGGAGAAAAAAGAGTAGGAGATTGTAGAAGTTCAAGTGAGTTTTTGAAGCTAATGAAAAAATACTTTCAAGGGCGAAAGGATGAGGTTTCTCTTTTCAGTATATGTAAAGGATTACATGTCGAAAAAAGCATACAAAAAGAAAAAATAAAAATAAAAGTTCAAAGCGGCTATATATTGACAAATAAAATTGGCAATTCAGCTGAAAACCAAAAAAGTTAGTAGAAGAGGTATTCCAAAGGTTTCTTGATATAGCGCATCTGCATTTGAGATAATATGCCAAAAATGCTTCCAGATTATATAAGGGAGTTATGGTAATATATAATTCATCAATTTGGCTGAATAGTAGAAGAGGTATTCCTAAAGTTTCTTGATACAGGGCATCTGCATTTGAGATGTTATGCCAAAAATGCTTCCAGATTATATAAAGGAGTCATGGTAATAAATAAGTCATCTAGACCTTCTTAGACGGAGATACACGAATAGTGAAACACTTTGAAAACAGATTATGTTAAGCCTTTAAAAAGTTCAGTTGAGAGACATGATATGTTAGTTGAGAAAGTGACTCAAAAGATAATATTATATAGAGAGAAATTCAAGTCAGAAAAGCTGGAGATTATCAGTAAATTCCTGAATTCATTATGAGAGGAGATATTATTACATATGACGATCAATTTCCATTGAGTAAATAGTAAATATCTGAAACTGGATTTACATGCTTTGGTATTTAGAAATAAATTAGCAAGAGAAGATCAGCATATCATCCCAAGACATTCTCCGTGTTAGAATATATGGAGAATTATATATTCTATTGCATTAATAAAGAATACATGAAGGTCTTATATATAGGAGAAGATTGGGGGGTAGGTGAGTGATGATCAAGTCATCTATAAATGGTAATATGGTAAGTATAATCATACATGGTAATGTGTAGTGTGCAAGAAACCTAGGTGATACGTAAAGGGTAAACATGTAATCTAAAAGCCCACCTCAAACTCAAGGTGAGTATGAACCCAACTTGAGATTGAAGGCCTGACAAAAATTTGGTAGAGATGGGTTTTCAACCATGATGCAGATGGAGGCACAATTAACAGCTGACGTGGCAAGTGATGTAGCACTACTGGCACCGCTGCTGGTTGTGTCTAACGTGGTAGCGGTCGTGGTAGGTGACGTGGCACTACTGCTAATATCATATTTATTCTCTCACAATATTTCTAACATGGTATCAAAGTCTATCGACGATTAATGGTAGTCTTCTAAGTGTATCATTGTCACCATCAGGGATGGCACCATTAGCCCATCCCCGGCGGCGATCAATCTTAAAACTCAAACTCACGCTTCCGCACTCACCACCAATTTCATTCACGTAATCAACGCGTCGGATTAACTCCGTTACCATGCACCACTACGCGCCTCAAATGGTAATCCCACTCTTCCATGTGCTTTCACACACAATAGCGATAATCCCGCGCCTTAACGTGTCGCTCCGTCCCCGCACCACTATGCGCCTCAAGTGGTAATCCCATTCTTCCATGCGTAAGAGTGGTAATCCCGCGCCTCAACGTGTCAAATCAACTCGGTCACTGCGCCACCATGCGCCATCAATGGTCATCATGCGCTCACACGCGCCTCAACGTGTCAGATCTTTACAACTCCGTCACCACGCCGCCACATGCCATCAGTTGTCATCATGGGCTTTTTAAAGTGCCATCACCGTGGTGAATCTTCACAAATTCATCGCCCATGCACGTCCGCTCCTTAATGTGCCTCAAATGGTCTTCACGCTCCACCACTGCTTTTATGATCTCGTCTCCAAACTCAAGCTGGTTTCATACTCACCTTGAGTTTAAGGGGGGCTGTTAGATTATAAAAGTACTATAATATCCCTTACCTACTATCTAGGGTTTACATAACTACACCTACCCAATTACCATATATACCTCCACCTACCTAGTTACCATGTATAAATGACTTGATCATCACTCACCTACCCCCAAATCTTCTCCTACATATAGGATCTTTATTTATTCTTTATTAATGAAATAAAATATAATATTTTTCCATTACTTTATTTCCAACACTCTGAAAGCATATGATTGCCAGTTGATTGCACAAGAAATATCCAGAGACAACAAAATGGACGAAGGAGATTGACTACAACAGAACAAACAAAAGATCTTTAAAAGTTCAATCATGATGCATATTACAAACTTATACGACAAAGTTCTTTTTCACCTGTGAAAATAACAAGACCATCGGCCGATACTCGTACCAACTCAGGAAGGGTCTTGTTAAGGTATTTGGAAGTTAAGTAATCCAATGCATCTGAGATAATCAAAAGAGAAAATGATTTTGGCCTGTATGGAAGAGGAAACTTGATATCAGCCACACGCACAATGCCCTTGTGCACAAGACTCTTGCAGCTACTATCAGCATCCTCTATATCATAAGGTTCCACTCCCCAGGCCTCTATATCCTCCTCTTTTAAAAGCTCAGAAACCACTGAGCAAGTGTCGGGGCCAACATGCAAGACTTTATGCATGTTGTTACCATATGCTTTCTTCAAAATTGGAATTGCCCGCTGAACCTCTGTTGTGCAAGAAAAGTCACCTGCATAGTGGAACGATTTTATAATTTTCAAAGCAAGGTAACTTGCACCATATCAGCAACTTAATCAATCAACTAATCTGACAAGAGTAAGATACATAGAAAAGACTATATTAACAACAGCAAGAATCCAAATTACTCAACTTATATGATGTACTGATGTTTTACCATTTCATAAACCAGTTAACAATGATCATATTTCTGGTGATTCACCAAAGGTAGTTCGGAGTAATAAACTTAATCTACCAGATATACTAATACATTAACACCATTTATTAATGCTGAATTATTTATGTTAAATTTTGAACACTGGCACAAGAAATCTGACTTTCAAAATATATATATATATACATATATTCAACCATATTCTGTTAGCATAAATATTGAGAATTCTCCATAGATTTTGGAAAGAAAACAATTTTAGACTAGAGTAGTGCAAAGCAGGTGAGACAGTCTCCTTCCATAACTTAGAAACCAAACATTCTACTCTAGCAACAAAAGAAGAAGTTTATAATTACTTTTTAGTACTAGCCACCGTAAAAATAGCACCCATAACAACACGCATTCAAGTAAATGCCATGCCAGCACTACTCACTGAGTCACAATGGCTTTGGAGTAAGAATTACGTTTAGACAATAAGCTAGTGCTCAGAAAACAATGCCATATAGCAACACAACAACGCCCTGTCAGAACAAAGCATCCCTTACTGGCCATCAAGATTTCCTTCAACACTTGAGGAAATAAAGAGAAAAAAGGATTTCCCACAACACTTTGCATTTTTGGAAAATTATAGATTTCTTTGGCACGCTTCTTAGACCAAAAACAGATTGCATGCAGCCTATAGAATCTACAATTTTGTTCTTTAAGAATTAGTTTCGTATTGCTCAGGATAAAAAGGATTAGAAAATCATAGCCATGCCATCCGAATGAAGAAAGAAGCAACTACAATCTCCTTGAGAAGAAATGTTGAGTTAATATCTTGTCCATAAAAAAGGTCAACTTCTGTGGAAGTCCTGCACAATTTAGTCTTCTAAAATGAAGGTGGGACTGAGGACAGATATAATTAGCTAGTAAGAGCAAGAGAGAAATTAGTATATATATGCTCTTGGGACAAATTAACAAAATATGCATCTACATGGTCCTATGGTACTCCACATGCACAGATGATACGAGATCAGATATCATAGTCCAGCTTTCTAAAGATTCATCATATGCTTTCTCAGAATTTTCCCACATGCAAGATGTAGTATAAAGAAGTAAACATAAAAACAAACCAGGACTAAACCTTGTATGTTCAACTACAACAAGAGGCCTGCAAAAATATGCAGCCGGTAATATATTTAATGAAACCAGTTCAATCAGTTATAGTATATGAAACCTTCAAGAAACAGAAATCCAAATATAATAGCTTTATTTTGTTGAATTATAATAAAAACAAAAGGCAAAAATTTTATAATACACAGTAAGGGATCAAACATAATCACCTTCAAACCTTCTAACAGCCACTTTACTACCACCAAATCCACCTATCAAACAAAAACTTTTTCTTTGGTCAGTGTATGGCAGAAGTAAATATCAAATCTATCAAGTAGGAGCAACAATTAGACATATATATTATCAGCATATACAACATGAAAGTAAACTATTGAATTCTAGGAAATCATGAACATCAAAAGCGTCTGGACATGCTCTTGGATATTGAAAGAGTATGAAAAGTTATTCTTAGTAATTGACTAAATATCAAATTGTGGATTTTAAAAAAAAAAAAATTGCTAACTTTGTATATACCAACAAGATGGGACATATTGCATATGTTCAATTTGACTCTGACCTTGTTTGATTTTTTCTCATATCAAGATCCAACAATGTGGACAGATTTACATGTCATACTCTCTAAAGAAGGAATCCACAATCATGAATAAGCCATCCAGCAAGTTAAATGATATGCATGACCCAAACCTAGCTCTAATATGTCAAAGTAAACTATGTACAATTAGATCTAAAGGGGAAGTGAATAGATCTTTTGCACACTTTGATAATTTTTACTCGGTTTCAATTCTAACAATCAACTGAAATTTTATTATCAATCACTAAGCATGTATTAATAGGTTTTTACTGCAGAAATATAAAGTAAAACATCAACACGCATGAACATCGATTTTTAAGTGGAAATCCCCAATGAAGAAAAACCATAGGAACTATTTTAGGAATATCAAAACCACAATGAGAGGAAGATTTAACTAGCTTAATAGTTCCCAAATCCTAGAACCCCTAAGTACCTCTTGACGCAGACGAATCCACCAATCTCAAAATGTGTCTCTAGGCACACAATCCCCTCCATCAATAGATCCGCTTCTAACGCAATCCGTTTCTCCAATATGTTATTTGATCTCCAATGACAAGTTGTCCAATTCTTTGATGTGTAGGTGTTGTGGTTGACATTACTCAATGAAGCTTCTTGCTTCATGACTCAATCACAGAATATTACAGGGTATTCTGTGAAGAACCTCACAATTATATTATTGTGCATCTTATGTTTCTCATGTTTAGAGAACCCTGAGACACTTTTTTATATTGTGGAATTGATTGAAAATTAATTAGGAATGTTTTAGATAAATTTTGGAAAGTTTATAAAGTATTTTCGGACTTGGAGATGCGCATTTTACTGACTTTGGGTGTCCGTTGATCGATCGATGTATCTATCAAAACCTTCAAGGTTTTCCTAGATCGATTGAGCTTTGGTTGAGCTATTTAGATGTAACTTCAATCGATCGAGATTCGGGTTTGATCAATCGTGATTTCAGCTGAACTACCTGACTTCAAACACTTTGTTAAGGGATCAAACGGACTCCAAATTCAGCATATGACATATTATTGGAAAGACCATCAGCTGAGCACAGTTTTTGAATATATAAAGACCATCACGAAATCCCAAGAATTTAGTTTTAATGATGTTCCAAAGACACGGAGGTATATTTTTACAATTTGGAATCCTTACCAAAGTCAAGTTTCATATTGGTTTTCAACTTAAACTCAAAATCTAGTTTTTCTATCCAATATTAAGGTTTTCAAATTCATTTTTAAAGCAACAATATTCAACTTCAAGTTTATAATTATATTAAAATTAAATAATAATTATTTTTAATTTAACTCCAAATTAATTGAAGTTGTCTAATTCATTCACTCCAAATCCTATGGTCTCCGAGGCCACTTACCTTCTTTATATTGCGTTATTGATGAAGGTTTAAGCAAACCCAATCGATCCTTTGACTCAATCTTCAATCTACATTGACAGCTTCAATGTCAATGCAAACCTTCCATTGAAGTGACATGACATATAAACCATGACACAATTTTTGCTCACGCATCACACGGGGAAAAAAATTGAAATATAATTTACCTATATAGACAAACAACACCAAATTAGTCTATAATGATTTGGTTAATATTAAATAAACAATTCTCCTCATCATCATAAAAAATATGTCAGTAGAAATAAGCATTAGTATCCTTTTCACTGTTTCAAAATTCTTTATATACTAAAATCAACCTTATGGGATATTTTAATATGAGAGAATTATTTTGCTAAACTGGTTCTCTAAAGCTTAACCTAATGCCTTGTGTAAGAATTGAGCAATACATCTCAAATCAGCAAAATGCTTATGTACATAATTAAAGAGGCTAGAAATACTTTATTGCAATTTTTCGACATAAAGAAAACCAATTTGATGTGTGGGTTATTTATGATTTATTATTGTACGCAGAGGAAAACTATATTATCTAGGTGATTCATTGTTATAGCTAGAACATAGCTAGAACACTTGACAATAATATGAAGCAGGTTGCAACAGTAGATATATACAAAGTAGTGTAATAGGACTTCGGTCCAATCTAACATAATTTACTTGATATTCTTATGAAGGAAGGGAAAAAAAAAAAAAAAAAACACTTGACAATAATATGAAGCAGGTTGCAACAGTAGATATATACAAAGTAGTGTAATAGGACTTCGGTCCAATCTAACATAATTTACTTGATATTCTTATGAAGGAAGGGAAAAAAAAAAAAAAAAAACCTTTATGTTGAAATTAGAATGTAACAAACTTTCACTTGATTAACATTTCAGAGCCAGAAATGGAATACCAACTAATAAAATTGTAAAAATTGTGCAGCATTTACATTGAAATGCATGTCAGTAAAGTGAATACAAACCTGGGCCGCTATAAGAATAGCCTATAAGAAGCAGAGCTCCCTGATATGTTCTCATCATCAAAAAAAAAAAATACAACAATTAGGATTGGACCGGACCACTGAGGCATAACCCATATTATTATAATTATTATTCTTTCCTCAAACAAGAAATTCTGTTTAAAGTAAGCCCTAGACATAAAGTAAAGGTTCAGCAAATTTTACAAATAACTCGTTGAATAAGTGTTGTTATACATGAACTGGATGCTAAAAAACCACGATGACAGAACATAGAGTGTACCACTATGACAAGTCCAGTAGTTAAATATGGAGACGAGCGTGATCTTGATTGCAATGAGGATGACAATGGAACAAGTCCGCCATCTGCAGACCGTCTAGATGGGTTAACTTGCCTCCTCCACATTGCTTCCGATTTTACTGATAATGACGCTACAAGCTACAATGGTCAGAGTAACCAGTGAACCATCGAACACCCGACCCAAATTAATAAATAATCAGTAGTAATGCAGAAATAATCAAATAAAACAAGAAATGATAGCACATTGTTCAGAAGAATAACCAACTAACAGCACTTTTGACGGAACAAGTTCTAGAAGTACTTTTCCTTATATATAAGGGAAAAATTTCAGATGAATCTTTTTTTTCTTTTTTCTTTTTTTCTAATTCCTAATTCAAGCCGCTGATTCTATTCCCCCAAACATAGTTTATTTCATATTTCTTTTTTAGATTAAAATAAATAAATTAATTAAATAAATAAACACCCAATACTTAATTTCTTCTTAGAACCCAAAACTTAGTTCTCAATTCTTTTGTGGTTCTCTACAGCAAGAATAACAAATAATACACAATAATATGAGCTAAGCTTTTGACACTTGCGAATAATAGCAATCAAAATTCACAATATAGTTCTGTTAATTTTGCAAACTATGCTATGATTTTGAATAATTTCAACGAGCGAATTAACAAAATTGCACACAATCTTCACTCAAATCTTTAGATCATAAGGGTGAACCTATACATCAATTGTAAGAAATATAAAGAATTTTCTTCAGAGAATTGAATTACCTGATGATGGTGATCAATGAATAAACCTCATATACAGGGGAAAAGAAGAAAAAAAATTGAGGCAGAATCTAGATCTGTATCTTAAAATTCAATGTCCCTACTCACTGTAGACGAATTTATATACATGTGTGTGTGCGCGAGTGTCCGTGTGTGTAATTTGTAGATATATAGATATGCTTGGAATTACATTTGATGTGTATATCTGTTAATTCCAACGGAATGAAAGGGCAAGTGCTTTGATATGCTTTCCCGGAAAGTTGGGCCCATCCTCCAGTTATTTTATTTTTAACATGGTAGATTCAGAATATTTGTAATTATTCTCCGATCAGTTCACACGTGTCGAAGGCCCAAAATGGGATTGACCCAATATTATTACTGTATACACTAAAACTTTTTTCTATTTAAAAATATAATTAATTATTTAATATAAATAATAAAATTAATAAATATAAATAATAAAATACTGGTATGTTTCTTGAAACTATTGTTGTGTCTCTAAATTCTATATATATAACGTATTATGTGTACATATTGAATGAGTTGTTGAACAAATCCCTTTAAGTACGAATTTACGACTTGTTTTTAAGATTTTCAACCACCATACCATTCTTAAAATTTTAATACGGAGTAATATAAAATTTATTACTGATTCCATTAATTGTTTCTTGTGCACCCTTCTAAAAGCCCTTCATTGGCATTAGGATTACACTGACAAAACCAACAACTAAAAGGCACCAGTTGGAGTTAAAGGCACCTTACATGAAAAAACAGTTGGATTTAAAGGCACCTTACCTGAAAAAACAGTTGGTCTTGAAGGCACTGAGTGAACAACTAATTAATTGTGACAATTATTTTTTCCAGCTAGGGTTTTTTTACAAAGTAAGACCTAGTTATATATATCTGCTTTTTTTTTTCTTTTGCTTTATTTTATTTATTGTTGTGTGACTGTTCACTTGTAATTTTACATAAAACCAGCATAAGTTGAGGAAAATATATGACTCCTTGCAAGTCTGTATACAAAATCTGAGAATGGACTAACTAGTAACCAATCAATGAAATAAGCATCAAGAATACATTGAAGGAATACAATTACATATTACTTTGATTTGAAAGAATGAAATTAGTACACTGAAACAAAAACCTAAAAAGAAAAAATGTGTTACAATTTCTCTTCTCTTTGGAGAAGCTATTGTTGTCCTCCACACTAACTTTTGAATAAGAGATAGCAGTTACTGCAAACACTAGCCAATCTTGACAGTCCATGCGTGTTTAATTCGCTTTTCACAACCCTTAATAAACAGGAGGAGCTCTGTAATAAGCAGGAACAGTTGCAGGGAAGAACATTTGCCTTACTCCTTCTGACCTGATAATAGGGAAGATGATTCCTGATGCACTCTGCAACAACAGATGGCTCACAATTTCAGAATAGACTGAAAAATGGCATCTCTCTCTCATTTTAATTTGAACATATTCAAGCAAAATTGTGTGCAATAGTAAAAAGTAAGAGTGAGAATAGATACGCACCGAAATCAATCTGGCTCCGATCCACATGCGTTTAGGAGAGGGAAATGGCAACAACAACCGACCAACACCGAATATTGCCACCGCAAAGAAATGGACAACCAAGCTCAATGGGCGGGGGTTTAAACCTGACAGTAAAGACACTGGCCCTGTTGAGCAAACACCTCCTAGGCTTAAATAATCGAAGCATGCCTCGCGCATTTCCTTCCTTGCTTGATCAGGTGAAGCACAAAACACCTTGTACAGGGCACCTGCCAAAGTATTTATTGTGGAAGCCACAGGCTGCAAAGAAAAATATTGGGAAACAATGAGTCATACAGTCTAAGATGAAAATTTCTATACGCAACGAAGAATGCTCAGTTTTTTTTCCTAGTTGAGTCTGGATCAACAAAATGTACCAATCCATCAGTATCCACTAACGTCATGCTTATCATACTTGAAAACTATTTAAGTGACAGAAAATGAGACTAGATCCACTATAAATGAAAGATATGCCTATGAACACAACTTACCTTGCGCAAGGTGTAAAAAGATTCAAGATATTTGCAAAGAGTAGGTGCATCGTTCAGGTCACGCAGAGGCTTAAGGAGATCACGTAGCACAACGATATCAGACAGTGCAACAGTCATTCCTCCACCAGTTAGCGGGTGGCGCATGTTGAATGCGTCTCCCATCAATAGGGCCCCGGGAGTAGGATGAGGATCAGCTGGCATGCTTCTGTTTGGCATTGTCCTTATGTTTCCTTTATCAATTGCAGCAATGAAGGCATCATACAGCTGAGGAGGAATCTGAAACAGGTGTAGCATCTTAGTCCCATGTGCTAATAGAACAAGGAAGATAATAGCAAACACTTTTATGTAATTCAATAAATGAACACGGAATTTAGTAAACATGCATTATGTTTATACCTGGGAAGCAACAAAAGTCTTCAAATACTTGGCCATTTCACCATTTGAAATAGAAGGCACCTTTTGACCGGGCACATCAACCAAACAGCGTATCTCCGTACTGCTGATCTTGTAAAATAAGATGGGGGATGGATCGGCCAAAATAACATGCCCATGGTTGACATATGGAAGATTGCAGTTCTCTAACAATAAACCAACAAAACAAGAGGGCACGTCTACCTGCAGAAGATAACATGACACTGAGTTACAAAATGAAAAGTGCAGCCAAAAGAAAGAAAACGAATCATTTGCAAACTATGTGATTCATAAACTTGATGAGTGTACTCATTAATCCGATCAAATTGCAGGGGAATTTGACCGTTTTGGCCAACTCACAGAAAGATCTATAAATTAGAAATCATCCTCACCTTAGGTGTGCAAAGGGAACGGCGCAAGTTCGAAAAACAGCCATCACATACAATGGTCAGAGGTGCATAAGCTCTCACTTCATCACCATTTTTAGTCTTGTATTGCACACCTTTAATGGTCCCTTCTTCTTCAAGCAGAGATGTGACTGTTCCTTGCTCGAGTTGCACACTTAAAGAAATCGAAATAAGGTGCATCAATGAGTACAAAGACAAATACTTAAAGAAAAAAAAAAAAAAAAAAAAAAAAAAAAAAAAATTGATGGCATGCATGGTCATCTGACATTTTAAGATGCCTTAAATTATTTACATAAAGGAAAGCTATCAAGATCAAATATATACTTTGGTAGGGTTGCAGCTTTCTCCCGCATTTTTTGAATGAATCGACCATTGTGAAAACTCCTTCCTGAAACATCAGAGTGAAATTTTTCCAATGGATAAGAGAGCCGAGTATTCTTTCCGTCCTTGAAAAGAGCATAACCAAACACCCGCTGGGCATCAATGTTCTCCACACAATCTGCAGCCAAAACATCAGAATCGTCATTCAACAAGCACAATAACATATTCATACAGCATCAAATTATCAAACAAGAATAATTGCATTACTAGTTCATAACTTCATACAAAATGTTTCATATAGTTTTGCTAAATTTCTTATAAACTCTGTAAGTCCTACCTTCAAGTCCTAACTCAATCAATTTGAGGTAGCCGCCAGGTTGCAGCAATTCTCCAACAATTCGGTCAGGCTCTGTCAAATCTCTTTCAATCACGCACACCCGACGCCCATCCTGAATATCAAGCAGATAACATAAGAAAGAATAATCAGTTCATATATTCTTGAATTCATCTTGACAATATTCTAGTGGCACTATACAATCAAAAAACAAACAGGAAAATATTAATTACTTATGAGACATAGAACTAACAATTAATTAATTGAGAATATAGTGCATAGGAATATACATATATAGTGAATAACAAACTAATAATCCCACGAAAATAAATAAATGATTTTCTGCAATACATATGTAAAAAAATTTAACAAAAAAAAAAAAAGCTTCAGAAAATGATTAAAGCGTTGAATTAAGCACATAAAAATTTGAGTCCACGAGCATTTAATTCCTACAATCTTAGCATTCGAATACATGTTATTTCTCTTCTGTACACAGATATATGTATACAAAGCGAAATCTCAATTCTTTTGTAGTCATTGAACCTTACTGATAATTAAAATTAACACTTCCCATTGTATAAATTGCTCTAAATGTTGCATTATTTAGGTAAAGTACTGATTTCATCCACTAAATGTAGTAATCTGACTACAGATTGAAAATATATGTATGTGTGTGTGTGTGAATATAGATGCATATATAGATGCAGATATAGCATATAGGTACATACAAATACATGAATATAAATATAATTTGGAGTTCATTTCGTGTCCAAATCAACGAAAGATAAGAGACAATACCTTGCCGAGAGTGTGAGCGAGAGCCGCACCAGCAACGCCGGCGCCGACGATGATGACATCGACGGCGCCGGTCTTGGATCTGCATTCTCCGTTAATGGCGGTGGTGGTGGTGGTAGTGGTGCTCTGGCTGACCTCCACTGACCCTCTCTTCCCATTTCTCCTCGCAAACAAGTTGTACAACACCACGACCCCAAGAAATGCAGCGAAGATCGAACCTAACACGTACTGATCCACCATTTTCGAAATGCAAATCGAACTACGAGATCGAGATTAAGACGACGCCAGAGGCCGACGAGAACGAACACTCGCTCTAAAATCACTCACTTTCTCCCTCTAGAATCACACAGTTTCTCTCTCCTCGCTGGAATTGCCTTCTTTGAATGAATTAGTTAGAACGAGTGACTGGGAGAAGTTTTAGGACTGGTACAGCTTTTATAGTCTTACACGTTGCTCCGACCTGTGGTGATTGTGTGTGATTAAGCATGTGCTATGACACGGTATTCAATAGTAGATATATATATACACACATACAGTGTTTGTATCTAATAGTTTACTATAATTTTATATGATTAATTAACTAAAGATATGGACATTTTATTAGTAAATAATAGGGTTTGTGTAGATTCTGAGATTGTGCAAGAAGTGCATTAGACGTCTATTTTGTTTTTAAAAAATACAATTGTTTGGAAGTGTGTGCAAGGAAAATACAAACAAAGAATTTGACATGTTTTCAAGAATTGAGAATTATGATACTGTGGTCTGAATTTTGTTTCCACCCAAATTTTATTGCAAGTCAATTAAATGTAAAAAAAATAAAATAAAATAACCTGTGGATTATTGTTTCGTGATCTAGTCTTTAACGTAAGTAACTAGTATATAAGGGTGTTACTTGCTGGTTTTTTTTTGGGGAGGGGGGGAGGGTTGTAATTCTTATAGGTTTACAAAAGTCCCTCATTTTTAATTTTTAGGCGAATAAGAACTTTTTGTCAATAAATTGTTTAAATGACTAAAATGTCTTTTTGTATTTGAAAAAAAATAAAGTAAAAAACAAAAAAAAATAGAAGTACCAAACCAAAAATGACATCGTAAGAGAAATGGTGTTTATACTGTAAAATGGGGTAAGGACATATTTGGAAGACAAAAATGGTACTTTAGGAATTTATAATAGGGTTGTTTTTTTACACTTTACCTTTAAAAAAATTACAAGAAGTCGAACAAAGAGTTAAACAAATATAGGAGTTGGGGGCCTTGAAAATGTATAATCTATATATATATATATATATATAGTGAGAGCTTTTCGTTGATTTTTACCTTGGACATAAATTATAGTCTTTGTATACGGTGTAATTCATGATTTATAGGTTTCTTTGTGCTGGTTAAAAAGAAAAAAAAATAAAAATTAAGTTATTGAAATCAAAAATTTAGGTCCACTCTAACGTGCAATTTACTTGTTATAAAGGAGAATTGTCTAACATCGAATCTGAATGAAAAATGCAATGAGTATAAATAAGTTAAATGTTAGTAGCATATAATAGCTTAAACAAAACAGATATAGAATTTGGGGCCTTGAATTTTGTAATATCTGTTTTATATATATATATATATATATAGTGAAAGCTTTTAGTTCATTTTTACCATGGACATAAATTCTGGTCTTTGTATACGATGTAATTCATGATTTATAGGTTTCTTTTGTGGTGGTTAAAAAGAAAAAGAATTAAGTTATTAAAATCAAAAGTTTAGGTACACTTTAACGTGGAAATCTACTTGTTATAAGGGCAATTTGTCTAATATCGAACCCGAATAAAAAGTGAAATGAGTTAAATATTGAAATAAGTATGAATAAATGTTAGTTGCATATAATAGGTTAAGTTTTTGTGTCCGAAACACCCACCAATTACACAACAATATATATTATTATGTAACTGAAAAAACATATTCTATATTTTTTAAGAGTTGAAATAAAACCGTGGGAATCAAATCAAGGGGCTTAGGTAGATCTGGTGTCCTGGTCAAATTAGTGCCACCCTGTCACTAAAAAATATCATGCTTAACTGTTTTTTTATTTTTTAAACTATTAATACGATTATAAAGTGATTAAGAAAAGTCAACCACACGTTTTTAAAAAAAAATTGAGTGAGCCAAATATAAACACATACATTGCCATGACTGCATTGATTGATCCACATAAAATCCATAATTTTGGTCACCCAAGAAAGATTATATGCATGAAATTAATGTCCTTACTCGACTAGTAAATATCTTACGCACAACGACTTGATGGACGGTCGAGATGAGACTTTAAAGATGCCAATAAAGGGTTCATCAACACTCAATATATATATATATATATATATATATATATATATGAAGGTATATAATAAATGAATTAATGACCAAGTACGAGATTGTATTGTGATGATTCAACAGCACATACATAGTCAAAATATGCGTTATTACATAGTTGTGATTTATGTATGATTTGGTCAAAATTTGTGTTCTTTAATTTATTTCATCTCAGCGGAGTTGGTCAATGACGAGTTGATCAAAGCACCCGCCAATATGGAAGTTTTGGCCTAGCGCCACCTAACTCTGCTTTTATTTATGTTCAGACGGCTCTTGCTGCACTGACTTAGAAGTTGTATATATTATTTCACACTATTTTTTTATTTTTACTTTTTTTATTGGAATAATGAAATAAAAAATTTTGTTCTTAATATATGATTTAAAATTTCTATCATATAAATATATTTTAGTCTTGGAATACATGAAACCACTCCTAATAATCATCCACGTTTTTTTTTAAGGAAAAAAAAGAAAAAGAAAAAAAGATGAGGGTTGATTTTAAAGATGTAAAATTAATAATGCATGTGTAAAGTTCGAGGCAAATGTAATAATGGATTAATAGAATAAAAATAGGGAAAAAATCACAAAACCCCCCATACTACCATTTTTGTCCAAAAAGCTCCCACTAAAATTAAACACCTCCCTGAACTAACAAAACTCATCAAGTTACCTCCAAATCGGTGTAAAATGACAAAATTGCCCTTATATGTTAATTGTTAAATTTAAAACTTATAATATTATTACAAAATTACACAACTGCCCCTCTTTTCTTCTTCACCTCTGTCCAATTTCAGCAGAAACCCAACAACATTACAAAGCAAAAAGTGATCTTTGTGCTTAATCGCCGATATTTCCTATCTGGGTTCTTAACAAATTGACAAAAAAATATTTATAATCTGTGAGATTTCGATCGCATAATTGTCAATCTGAGTTGCAAATCATTGGGTATTTTGAGGAAAAATCATTGAGTTTGATATTCTGATTTGTGTTTGGTTTCTTCTATTTGGTTCATGTTTCGGTAGATTTGTGGTGAAGAAGAATAGCTTGAAAGTGACTACACCTGATCACTTGAAAGATGTTTATGAATGTGACAACCACTCTCTCGCAGACCAAACATCAGTTCAGTGACTGTGATACCCCTCGGATCCGAGACACGGGTTGATCAGGCCCAGGCCCAAACCCGAGGGATGTCAAACAATTAATATGTAACCGAACACGGAATACAAGATAAAATAAGAATTAAAAATAATAAGCTGAAAGAATCTAGAAATAAAATCCTTTAAAAATAAATACTTAAACCTATTAATCCAAGACTCCATAAGTTTACAACTCGGGAATCCATCCATTGGACCCCTTATTAAAAATCTCCAAAAGATACTGAAAAATTATAAAAATAAAATCCAAAACTAACATAGAGAAGATTCCTACATAATCGGAGGAATGAATAGCTGTATCTGCTTGCACGTCCAAACTCTAACCCTAGAACTGACGAGCACCTGAAAAATAAAGAAGTGGGTCAGGCCCACATGCAAGTCCTGATCTACTACAATCCAAACAGTAATCCGATACGCAGATACATCCTAGGAAGACTCAACAATAACTAGAGTAATCCATATAAGTATATAGTACACATTATAGGACGCTCGCTAGTCCAGTAGGTTTATCTCAGCCTGAATAGAAGGCAACATGCAAATACGCACCCTAAGGTGGGCATGAGTACCTAGACCTACCAAGGAACAACACCTATGTCCAGTTATCCATCCTAGGCGATATACGCGCCCTAACCATGGTCATGAGACTCAAGCTCATACCACTGCACCATATAATGTATATATAAAGTCCGTACTCCTCCTAATACAGTATACCATCCATCTGTGTAGTGGTCTGATATATGTATAACAAATCCATCCTGAAATCCTAGTAGGTCATTCAATTCACAACTGATATGACACATGTAGATGATGGACTTAACCTTTATGATTAATCCATACCTTGATCCAAATTAGGTAGGACTTAATGTTGGAATTAGTCCATACCTAGTATGTCACCGTCCCATACCGGTACATACCATCCTCCAGTTAACAGAGTTGATAAAACAGTACTAGATAGTCATCAACCCAACTCCCAAATTATGCACAAACCAAATTAGTCCATAATTATAAAACTTAGGCATTCAGTCCAGGCCTAGAAATTATATTCCAACCATTAAATTTGTTATTTATAAACATAGCATTTACATCATTCAACAAGTCCACTAATTGATAAAATTAACTGATCTGTTATATCAATTTACTTCCAACCAAACATAGATAATTTCAAGAATTTTACTATGCTTATAAAACTGTCTAAACATAATTAAAACAGTAATAAATAAAAAAAATCCCAATTCCAGTCCGTTAAATGACAAAACAAAAACATGCAATTTATTTCTCTAAACAGTGCCATAACTGGTGCAATTTATATCCAGTTTAAATCATCAGTTAATTCCATCCATATCTACGTCTAATTATACTACTATATGCTTAAACCATAATACAAAATATAACTAGCCGTTTAAGATTATACAGAGAAATCAAAATTTCAAAATAATAAACAAAAGAAAATTAATTCTTCAATCGTCCTCCTACGGTTCTCTGTTTAAACTAAAGTTAATTCCATCCTCTGTTTGCCTTCTCCGCTTCCGGCAAAGCTTCAATCCTCTGTCCCCACTTTGTTAAAGATATTTAAGGTACAATTTAAGTCCTAACAATCCTAGAAACTTCTCCTATTCTAGTATGAATTAATTGACAAAAACGTAAACCATAATCGAAACAGTTTATGCTTCCTCTGTTTGCCATCTCCGCTTCCGGCAAAGTTCAACCCTCTGCTCCAGAATTATTTTAAAGTTCTTAGGGTTCAATTAAGTCCCAACCATCCTAAAGACTCCTCAAATATCAATAAGTATTGCTTGACAAAAATTTAAAACCGAACAAAACAGTTTATGCAAGGAACACAATTTTAGTTCACCTAAGCATACGAACAGTTTAAAGTCTGTTACCATGCATCAAAATTCCGTTTTAAAGTTTAATTAACTTCCT